CTGGTTACTTCTGCCCTGTTTGTCAGTTTTCGTACTAAAGAAATGAATGGCCTTTTATACCTTCACCAATTGGAACTTTCAGAACCAACTTAGTGAGTTAGGTATAATGGATTTTCATCCCCTTTGCTATTTAGTTGTTTGTCTTTGTCCTCATAATGGTTGGTGGGTAGAAAGAAGCATTTTCCGGTTTTATGCCATTGTTAAAATCTGATGATTTTTTTGAAGGTTTGGCACCATACAGTTGAAGTTCGGTCAATTTTATTTATTTATTTAGGAGGTACCCAAGGAATTATAAAAATGTTTTTCAATTTAAAAACTTCTACAAATATACCAGTCAATTTCAACTTAATCTTTACAAATTATATTAAGTATTAATAATACCTAATAGATTTTATGTAATAAATAATATTTTAAAGCAAATTTTTACATGAACTTAATGGTCTTCAGCGTACTATTTTTTTTAAAAAAATGAATGATAAGGACCCCAAATCCTCCTTTATGTACTCAGTCATTTCCTATGGCACATATCACCATTTAATATGCTATATATTTTATCTGTTTATCTCATTAATTGCTGTCTTCTCCAACTAGCATGCAAACTCAACAGGAGTAGGGATTCTTTAACCATTGATTTATCTGATCCCTGGCACCTAAAATATAGAGGCTCAATAAGTATTTTTTGTATAGTAAGTGAACTGGGAAGTAGTTCTTAAAGATCTTTTATAATTCTATTTCAAAAGATGAAATTTTCTAAAAATGAACACTAGTATTTATGTAAAAGCACTATATGTCAAGTATCTGTCATTGGAGTCCTTGGGATCAAAAGTTTTTCAGATTTTGGAATATTTTTATAAATCAGCTGAATGTCTTCATTTGGAAAATCAAAAATCCAAAATGTAATCCAAAATCTGCATTGTGACTGTTCAAAATCTTCAGGTTTTGGAGCACTTCGGATTAGGGATGATCAATTTACATTACATTTTGTTTTTAGGTGAAAATATAATTCCTCTCTGATGCATTCAACTACCTGATTACAGTAAAGCACACAAAAGACAAAAATCAGATTATTGCTTTCCTTCTGAGAAACATTTCAACTGTCAAGTAGAGAGGGCTTGTAACTGACAAAGTATGGTAAATTCATGTAAAAAACAAATTCTGAGGCGATAGTACAAAAACTGTAAATAATAACAGCAATTGTTGAAGTCAGAAACAATCATAAAACTAAAACCCATGAAGGGAAGACTGACTATCTGAAGCCCTGAAACTGCCACTCATCCTGGAGACACGAGCTAATCCCTGGTTGGCATCTACGGAACCAAAGTCAGCTCAGGGTCCACAGAGGGCCTGAGTGTCAAAGGCAACAGCCCCAAAAGGTGAATGCCTCAGTGGGTGACTTAAAAAACCAGTCTTCCAGGGTCACTCTTGGTGAAGGGATTGGGAAAAAATGCACCCTCAGAAAATCTCAGGCTTTTATAGGTCAGGATCAGAAATTACGTGTTTACTGTATGCCTTCTCCCAAACCCAAAGATTTGCAATAAAATGTCCTGCGTGGGCAGTGCCTCCCAATACATGGTAGGAGAAAATGCAAAGACTCTCTAATGAATTTAAGCACTAAATTTCAAAGAGCTTTCTAAAGGGTTTCACTAACTGAGCTCACATTCATAAATAACAAAACACACAAGGAAGCAAGTGTCATGGGGAAGAATGAGGAAAAATAAATTGTATAATCACCTCTTCAGAGGCAGCAGATACTAAATGTATCCAATATAGAATACAAACATATATTAAAGTGTTAAACAAGAAAACAGGATTTCAAAATATGTAAAAAAGAACAAGATATGAAAAATTAATGTCAAAATAACTTCTGGAAATGAAAATATAGTAATTATAACTAGAGATTCAATGAGTGAATCCAATATTAAATTAAATGCAACTAAAAACAGAATCAGTGATTTGACAGATGAAAAGAAATTACATATAACCATGTACAGAAATAGAAAAGAGATAACAAAATGGAAGAAAATTAAGAGGTATGGAAGGTGGAGTACAAAAAAAAAACAAAAACAAAAACAAAAACAGAGAATGTAAGAAACAGCACTAGAAGTGACTTTTACTGAGATTTTTTCCAGAAGCAGAAAATTCAGGAAAACAAATGAATCCCAAGGATGCTACCAAAATGAAATCCTCATCCAGATATCCTGGTAAAACTGCAGAACACCATCATTTAAAACAAAACAAAACAAAACAAAAAATAACCCATAGATGAGTTACAGATTGATAACTGATTTCTCAACAGAGGAGTAATCTGGAGGTAAATGTCTTTAAATTGCTGGGAAAAATATTATTGGGTATCAAACTACATACTTAGCAAAACTATCTTTCACAAACAAGGGCAAATAAAAGCATTTGAGGGCAAACAAAAAATAAAAATTTGAATGGATAAAAAGATGTGTTATTTTTACACAATGGAGTACTTAATACTTATAAAGCAGGGTAAACTTCAGATGTTTATACATGAATGGATACAACTTGAGACCATACTCATCAGTGAAATAAATCAGACTCGCATGTGTAAACATCATATTGCCTCCCCATTGTAAGAATCTGAAAGAGTAAATCAGATCCAAAACGTACAATAGATATTGTGAAAGGGGAAGAAACTGATCAAAAGGAAAGAATAACTGGGACAGGGGAAAAAAGAAAAGGAGGAGGAGGAAACACACACACACACATACACACACACACACACACACACACACACACACACGATAGCTAAGATAATTATGCTATGAATTTCTATTAGTTCATTGAAAAGAACGGGTTAGGCTTATATTGGTTGATCAACTTTTCATGCTTATGTCTTGTAATCAGCAACTATTTTGAAGATAATAATAGGCATTATATTAATCATTGTTAACCTATCACCTTGTTTTGAAATTCTGTAGCGTTATTGTTTTTTCTCTTTAATATAAAAAAAAGCTTATACTGTATGGTGGAAATTCTAAACTGCTGCTATTTTTAAAGTCTCTGCTCCTTTTTCCATTCCTTTCTGGTTACTTTTGCCCTGTTTGTCAGTTTTTGTACTAAACAAATGAATGGACTTTCAACCCAAACGAAAGAAAGAAAGAAAAGTAAAGCACAGAAAAAGCAGGACAAATTGAAAAACGAGATGTTAAAAACGAATACAGACTTCCGGGAGAACATGGCGGACAGATAACAGCAACTACCGGAGGCTCTCTGAAAGACTCGGCTCAGAAGCCAGGAATGGTGCGGACTAAGGAGACATAAGCAGGTGGAGATATGCTCTGCTGACTCAGGAACGAACTGGGCTGAGAGAAACCAACTTGGAATGCATTCCTGGTGCTAAAACAGGAACAGAAAAGCCTCGGTGTGGAGGCTGGACCCCGCGCCATTGTAAGCCGCGATTTGGGTTTCCCGCGTCGGCTAGCTGCCTCTACAGTGGCTCGGCAAGGAGAGAGACGCGCAGAAGCTCTGAGAACGGCAATCTGCGAACGGCAGGGAGGCATGCACTGACTTGTGGTGAGGTGAGTGAGAGAAGCTGACACTCTACCACAGTTTGACTCCAGTGGAGGACTTTCTGGGCCCGAGCAGTCCTGAGGGAGCAGGGCGCGGTGGCGACTCCAGCCACACATCCCCCTCTCGGGCGGGATTGGTGAAAAGTGCCTGGCCTGCGTGACGCTGCCGGCGGACCTGGTAGGCTGTCCCAACCCAGATCCAAGAGCCTGACGGTGGCCGGGAGGGGAGACGCGTAGGCTGCCTGGTGCGTAAATCCCTGGTGCACAGCGGTGAGCGGGAACACCTAACTGGCGCAATTCGATCAGGCTGTGGCTGACTGGGAGAGAAGCTGGGCCTCTTATATAAGCTTGCATATATAAGGAACAGAGAAGAAGAGGCAGCATGGGAAGAGGCAGCAACAAGAAAGGCTCCTCGGCCCCCAATTCTGAGAAACAGGCAATAGCAGACACCGCACCAATATACATAAGGCACCATATAGAGAGCCTCATAGACCAATTCAGGAATGAAGTTATCAACGACCTGAAGCTAGAAGTATGCAGAATAGTTAGAGAAATGCTAAGTACCACCCAAGAAAAAACAGGCGGTGGAATGGAAGAACAGAAAAAAAGGGGAGAATTGTTTGATGGAGAAAACAGAGAAAGCATAGAATACGTGAAGCAGGTTCAAAGGGACTACCAAGATACTAAGAAGTCTATAGAAGACTGGCATAACAGCTTGAAAGAAACTAAGGACAGACTATCTGAACTGGAGGGCAGACTTGTAATATGGGAGAATGAAATGAAAAACTTCTTAAAAATAACAAAGAAACAAACAGCAATAATACAAAGACAAGAAGATGATAAGAGGATCCATAACTTAAGGATTAAGAACATAAAAGAAGAAGTAGGGACACAAACAAGTGAACTACAAAAGCTACTCACAGAAATAATCCAGGAGAATTTTCCTAATTTAGCAAAAGGTAAAGATACTCAGATGTATGAGGCATACAGGACCCCAGCTACCTACAACCCAAACAGAGCAACACCCAGGCATATAATAATAAAAATTCCAGAAATTCAATACAAGAACAGAATATTAAAAGCTGTCAGAGACAAGAAACAGACCACTTACAAGGGAACACCCATCAGAATTACAGCAGATTTCTCGGCACAAACCATCAAATCACGAAGAGCGTGGGGGGAAATAATTCAAGCTTTGAAAGATAATAATCTCCAGCCAAGATTGAGATATCCTGCACAACTGTCCCTGGAAATTGATGGAAAAACAAGGTGCTTCCAGGATAAAGAGGAACTGGGGGAATTTGCAACCACCAATTCAACTCTACAGAGAGCATTGCAGGATATTCTAAAAAAAGAAAAATACAAAGAATCCAGAAATAATGGCAGAGAGGCCACAACGAATGGAGCAGAGAACAAAATGAAGAAGACAAACTGACAGCTACTGACAGAAAAAGAGCTCAACAGAAATGAGGCAGAGAAGATTGGATGATAGGAACAGCTATTTTGGAGAAAATGACATCTTAATAGGTAATACTGATTTAGTATCATCTTGTTTTGAAGTCTCATCTAGCTTTTGTCCTTCTGTCTCCAATGGTCTAAATAGGTTGTATCTTACTGGATTTTATTATGTACAATAGTATAAGCAAAAACCTTGTAAAGACAAGGAGATTATACAGAAACCATTATTCATTTTCTGTTAGTCGATTCTAAATACTCTGTAATGCTGTCATTCTCTTGAATGGTTTTACATTGTTTTGATATACTTAATGCTACAGTATACGAAGTTGTACTCAAGGATTTCAAAGAAAGAGACAATATGGTAACTACTTTTAGGTTAGGATTATCTGGTGGTGAAACACTATTCTGCTTAAATGGTTATGTTTTGATCTGCGCTGTTTTGTTGTTATGCCCTCTTATATCTCAATCTCCACTCCATTATTTACTTTTTTATCTTTATCCTTTTAATTAAAGGAAAAAAATAGCAGGATATATTATAGTAACCCACTTTGACTTTTCATTACCTTGATTTAAAGCCCTGTATTACTCTCACCATCTGGTTTTTAACTGATGTTCCCCTATTCTGTTTTGCTGGATAGTATCAGGTTCGAAAGTTTAGGCATCAGCTGTGAAGATAATGAGATTCATTATGACGCCCATTCTTGTTGACTTTTATCTACTTTTGAAGACCTACAATGTTTCCAATGTTTTGGTTTTGTTGGTTTTATTCTTTACTGTTCTGTTCAATTGTATTATAACTAACGATATAGGCAATTCTATTAGAGATAGCGGGAGGCATTGTAGTAACCATTGTTGATCACCTTGTATTATGTTTTTACATTATCTATTATGTCCACCCTTTTGACTTGACCGATTCTGTTCTGTTATGTCACATTTGGTTTTACTCTCTTCCAAAAAAGTAATAAGAACCGTGGGAGCAATGAAACCCAAAATGTGTAATAGTCATGGTACAAAAGAGAGGAAAAGAAAGTGCTCCAAACTATATAACTGCATGTATATTTAAGTGTATAAGATAGAAAATGATATCACAGAGTTTTATTGGATCAATGAACAGAACTGTTTGCAGTATCATTGATGGAATGTCCACTTTACAAGCTTTAATTTTGTGACTTGAACAATTATTTCTAAGATGACAATATGTAATCCATTAACTAGTGATTTCCTACTGTTCATTTTTTTTTCTGTAAATCTGTATAACTTGTACCCTTGCCCTGCTTTTTTTTTTCTTTTCTCCTTCAATAAAATTAAAAAAAAAAAGAAAAAAAAAAAAAAAAAAAAAAAACGAATACAAATGTGTCAGCATAATCAACATAATCTACTAAATAGTAGAAATTAGAGTTTTTGGTTAAAAGATCCAGATTGTTGGATTAAATTAAAAAACACAAAACATATTCACACAGATTTGCATGTGAATGTTTGCAGCAGATTTACTTACAACAGCCTTAAACTTGTAACAAACCAAATGTCCAGCAAGTGGTGAATGGGTAAATAAACTGTGGTATATCCATACAATGGAATGATGGCTAAATATAAAGGAATACAATTCTGATGTATCTAACTCATGGATGAATCTCAAAACATTATGCTAAGTGCAAGAAGTCTAACACCAAAAACTAGGTACTATATGATTTCATTTGTATGACATTCTAGAAAGGACAAAAGTATACTGATCAAAAACACAGCAGAGGTTTCCTGGGACCAGAGATAAGAGAAGGAAATTGATAGTAAAGGGCACAAGGAACTCTCTGAGGGGTGGAAATGATCTGTATCTTTGCTGTAGTGGTAGTTACAGGACTGCATACACCGAACACCACACTTGGAAACATGTGAGTTCTACTGTGTGAGAATTATACTTTGGTAAACCTACTAGGAAACACCAAATGCAGATTTACAAAAGACAAATTTAAAACCTGTGTCTTTCAGAAAAGGAGGTGGAGAAACATATGTGTAGGCAAACACCAGCCTAGAAATCTAGTTCTGCTAAATTAAATGTCTGCAAAATTAATTTTAGGCAAAGAGATAAAGGGGATCATAGCATACATTTAATTCACCAGGAATACTCAAGAATATTCTGTTCCTAAAATAGGATCTTCAAAATATATAAAAACCAAAGTCATAAAACTTCATGGAAAAATTGTTAATAGGAGAGTCTTATTTGAACATACATGCAAAAATCCTGACAAAGTATTGGTAATTCAAATTATTTATAAAGAAAGATAACATGCCCAAGTTTTGGTTAATTTCATATTTCAAGGTTGCTTTAAGATTAATGTTGTTTATCAGATTAAAGAACAGAAAACATAGATAATATCAAAGGATACATGGAAAGCATTAAATAAGATACAATATTAGTTTATAAGTAAAATTTTTAGTAAACGAAGAATAAAGAAAAATGTCTAAAACTGGATAAAAGAGTACACATCAAAATCCTGTAACACATATCATATCCATGATGAAAGTTTGGGTCACTGTCTGTAAGGTCATCGAAAAGGTTTTTTGTTTTTTTGTTTTTTTAATCTAGTAAAACTTCTATTTAACACTGGAGATTCCAGCTAAAAAGTCAAGAAAACACAAATTAAAATTATATGAAATGGAAACAGAAAAAAATCAAAACTGTCATTACTCGTGAATTACAATAATCTTTCCCCCAAGGAAAACCCAAAAGAATCTAAAAAATTTTTTATTAATAAGGGCAATAAAGGTTGCTATATACATGATAAAGTACACAGTCCATCAACAGTGGAATGGCTACATAAATGACAGTATAATAAATGTAAAGTATTATATGGAAATAAAATGGATAATCCAAAGCTACATAGATCAGTGTAGATGAAATTCAGGACATGTTTTGGAGGGGAGTATAATTCTGTTTATGTAAAGGGTTAAAATAATACAGACTATTGTTTATGGATGTGTGTGTGTGTGTGTGTGTGTGTGTGTGTGTGTGTGTGTTAAAGAAAAGCAAGAGAATGACTAACTCAAAATCCATAAAAGCAGTAGGGGAGAGAAGGATGCAACAGAAAAGAGGTACATAAAGCTTTCAATAGTAGTGATAATGTTCAAGTGGTTAATAGGGATATAGATGCTTCCTTTTGCTTAATTCTTTAAAGTATACTTTTATGTTATATGATTCTTTCTATATGTGTATGTACCTTCTAATTTGAAGTACTGTAATGTTACTTCAAGTTGGAAAACAGAGGCCTTATGAATTTCTTTTCTATATTTAAGTTTTGAAATTAATATTTGTCTTATTCTAGGAAAATTTACAATCCTCACTCCTAATAGACTGAAATAATAAAAAACTCTTGATCCATTTTACAAGTAGAAAGAAAAATCACTGTATTTTCATAACTATCAGCATAAGAAAGAATAAAAACAACCAATGAATGGTTTAATAAAAAGGAAAAATATGTACTGATAAAAATAGAAAAAAGTTTAAGAAAAATTTCAGCTGAAAAAATATAATGTCTTCTTTTGCAAGAATTTTGTAGTTCTTCAGGCAAAAAATAAAGGGCTGACCAATGTCACAGAGAATGAAAATATTTTCTCTTCTCAAAAATGTTTTTAAATTACCAGTATAATTAAAATCATATACTGAACCAAAAATTCACCTGCAGAATGTGATTTCTGACAATCCAACTGGTTAAAACATCTACACAAAAAGCCTTAATACAAACTTCTCTAACAAGGACATATTATCAACAGCCACCTTCTCAAAACAGCCACCTTCTATTTAATTACAAAGTCTGCATTAAAAGAGGATTGAGAATAGAACATTTACAACAGGTTTGAACTATATGGAGCTACTTAAGAATGTGCATCTTGTTGTTGCTGTTGAGACCTGCAACAATTTCAAAAATTCAGAGACATCCACATAGTCTCGAAAAAATTAAGAAAAATATATTCTGAATGTATACAATACATGTAGGTAACGCCTATTCTATCACACATTACTTACCCTTCCAAATAAGTCCTGGGGACTCTATCCAGACACCCACACCCTGACTCAGCACCCTCCTAGTTTCCTTTCATTTCTCCTTTCTTCCCTTTTTTTAAGCTTATGTGCCACCTACCCAGAGAGAAACAGTATTTGAGGAGCGGGGCGTGGTGCTAGAGATCGAACCCAGGACCTTTTTTCATGTAGATACTGGGAGATTCTTTTTTCTTTTGAGACAGGATTTCACTGTAAATTGCCAAGTTGTCCAGGATGAGTTCAAGCTTGTGACAGTCCTGCTTCAGTCTGCCAGCGTTTTGGCATTACAGGAGTGTGCCACCATGCCTGGCTTAGAATAATCGTTCTAGAACACAAATATTCTTGCCATATTATGTTTCATCTTTCTCATCTTTTAGTATTGATCCACATCTACACAAAATAGCCTGTAAGCCTATTTAGAAGATGTGGTCCTTGATATCATCCCTCTGGCTTCTCTGGACATGGGTCCATATAATAGCAGGTTATATGCACTTTTCTTGAAAAACTCTTGCTTGTCTCAAAATTATTACTTATCTTCAAAAATCTGTGAAGTACCTCCATTCTCAAAGCTTCCCAAACTACCCGCCTCTGCACTCCTTACGTAGCTTGTTGCTGTCATCACATTTAACACTATTTATGTACATATGTATATGTGTCTTCCCACTATACCACAGACTGCTTGAGTGCAGAGATAATTATCTTATTTTTCTTTGTATTGTTACTGTGAAGCACAGCAACTGGTCCATGAAAAGCTGTCATCTGTTGAGTATCTACTGAATATCCTTACTAAACTTTCACATATCACCCTGAGCTATTCATTATCACACAACTCAATGAGCTATTTATTATCATTATCTTTTCACAAATGAGAAAACTGGCATCATCAGGACCCTCTAGTTATTGAGTCTGAGGTTCAGATCAAGACATGGGCTTCTCTCAAGTCCGCTATCTCTGTTAGCTCAGTCAGATCATGAGAAATCTCACCCAGTTTATGCCCTGGGAGGAAGGCTGTGGAATTCACGAAGAGTACACAGGAGGTGTCAGGGCATCTGGGGTTCTCTGCTTCTGCCAAGAACTCTCAATTCTACGCTGTCCCCAGCTTCCTCTGGTTCACTTTCTCCATCAAGGAGGATGTATAGATCCCGTAATATCTCCACTCCTATTACCCTCTGTTGACAAGAAGGAAGTCCTGTGAACC